CAGGAAGTTCATAAGAGGAGTGAAGAGTTGAAGGGTCACCAGAAAACAAGATCCATGTGGCACCATGCGAAGAGCCTCACTCAGACACCACAGAGCTCACAGGTTCAGATCCTGACAGATCATGTGATCAATCTCAAGCGTATAATTCCCGTAAAGCGGTGGCAGTGTGGGGGTGAGGAGACGGATTAATTGAATTCACCTTTTCAGATACAGTCTAAAAATTTGAATTGAAATGAGAAAGCAGTTTATGAGCTTAAAGACACGATTGCGGCTCTGTGACAGTTATATGGACTCCCCTGAAGTACTACATAGAATCCTTTGGTAACGTCATTAATATTCCGATATTACTCAGCTTCCTCTAACGAGCTCCTTATTCACAGCCCCACCATTGCAGTCATTTGCAGCATTCTGGACATAAAACATCTCACAGTGGGAGGGGAAGTGAATACTGAGGGGGAGGGCAGGCAGGGGGATGGGAGTATACACACTGAGGGTGTCATGGAGGGGGGGTGGGAGTATACCCACTGAGGGTGTCATGGAGAGGGATGGGAGTATACTCACTGAGGGTTGTCATGGAGGGGGGGTGGGAGTATACCCACTGAGGGTGTCATGGAGAGGGATGGGAGTATACTCACTGAGGGTGTCATGGAGGGGGGGTGGGAGTATACCCACTGAGGGTGTCATGGAGAGGGATGGGAGTATACTCACTGAGGGTGTCATGGAGGGGGGGTGGGTGGGAGTATACCCACTGAGGGTGTCATGGAGAGGGATGGGAGTATACTCACTGTGGGTGTCATGGAGGGGGGGTGGGAGTATACCCACTGAGGGTGTCATGGAGAGGGATGGGAGTATACTCACTGAGGGTGTCATGGAGGGGGGGTGGGAGTATACCCACTGAGGGTGTCATGGAGAGGGATGGGAGTATACTCACTGAGGGTGCCATGGAGGGGGGGTGGGAGTATACCCACTGAGGGTGTCATGGAGAGGGATGGGAGTATACTCACTGAGGGTGTCATGGAGGGGGACGGGAGTATACTCACTGAGGGTGTCATGGAGGGGGGGGCAGGAGTATACACACTGAGGGTGTCATGGAGGGGGGGCGGGAGTATACTCACTGAGGTGTCATGGAGAGGGATGGGAGTATACACACTGAGGGTGTCATGGAGGGGGGGCGGGAGTATACTCACTGTGGGTGTCAAGGGTGGGGGGACGGGAATATACTCACTGAGGGTGTCATGGAGGGGGACGGGAGTATACTCACTGAGGGTGTCATGGAGGGGGATGGGAGTATACACACTGAGGGTGTCATGGAGGGGGGACGGGAGTACACTCACTGAGGGTGTCATGAAGGGGGACAAGAGTATTCTCACTGAGGGTGTCATGGAGGGGGACAAGAGTATTCTCACTGAGGGTGTCATGGAGGGGGGACACGGGAGTATTCTCACTGAGGGTGTCATGGAGGGGGACAAGAGTATTCTCACTGAGGGTGTCATGGAGGGGGAAAAGAGTATTCTCACTGAGGGTGTCATGGAGGGGGACAAGAGTATTCTCACTGAGGGTGTCATGGAGGGGGAAAAGAGTATTCTCACTGAGGGTGTCATGGAGGGGGACAAGAGTATTCTCACTGAGGGTGTCATGGAGGGGGACAAGAGTATTCTCACTGAGGGTGTCATGGAGGGGGACGGGAGCACACTCACTGCGGGTGTCATGGAGGGGGGCATGGATGGGAGTATACACACTGAGGGTGTCATGGAGGGGGACGGGAGTACTCTCACTGAGGTCGTGTCATGGAGGGGGGATGGGAGTATACACACACTGAGGGTGTCATGGAGGGGGGACGGGAGTACTCTCACTGCGGGTGTCATGGAGGGGGACGGGAGTACTCTCACTGAGGGTGTCATGGAGGGGGATGGGGAAAAATAGTATACACACTGAGGGTTGTCATGGAGGGGGGGACGGGCGGAGAGTACTCTCACTGCGGGTGTCATGGAGGGGGAACGGGGAGTACTCTCACTGAGGGTGTGTCATGGAGGGGGATGGGGAGCACACTCACTGCGGGTGTCATCATGGAGGGGGACGCGGTGTCACCCTCAGTAAGTCATATATATATATAAAGGCTCAGAGGCCAGTACTATAATCTGTAGCCCACCCGCCACACCCCAGTGACAGACAACATCCAGGAGCTTTCCCACTCTGGTGTTACTGCAGCTTTCTATGCTGCTGGTGGATTTGCACTGCATGACCCCCGAATAGCTGCTCTATGACTTCCGGAGGTTCCGGAGACGCCTTCCTTTACTCCACTACATGTGAGCGCATTTCCTGCTGTTCTGTCAACAAATTCCTCAACTTGCTGCACTTAGATGCATCTTCTGCTGTTCACTGACATATAAAGAATATTTCAGGAGGAGCTTACATACACGATATTGCCCCAAGTATTGCCCCCCCCCCAGTATATACACTATATTGCCCCAAGTATTGCCCCCCCCCCGTATATACACGATATATTGCCCCAAGTATTGCCCCCCCCCGTTATATTGCCCCAAGTACCCCCCCCCCCCCGTATATTTGCCCCAAGTATTGCCCCCCCCCCGTATATACACGATATTGCCCCAAAAGGTATTGCCCCCCCCTCCCCACCCCGTACATACACGATATTGCCCCAAGTATTGCCCCCCCCCGTTATATACACGATATTGCCCCCCAAGTATTTGCCCCCCCCCGTATATACACGATATTGCCCCAAGTATTGCCCCCCCCCCGTATATACACTATATTGCCCCAAGTATTGCCCCCCCCGTATATACACGATATTGCCCCAAGTATTGCCCCCCCGTATATACACGATATTGCCCCAAGTATTGCCCCCCCCGTATATACACGATTATTGCCCCAAGTATTGCCCCCCCCGTATATACACGATATTGCCCCAAGTATTGCCCCCCCGCCCCCGTATATACACGATATTGCCCCAAGTATTGTCCCGCCCCCCCCGTATATACACGTATATTGCCCATATGCCCCAAGTATTGCCCCCCCCCCTTATATACACGATATTGCCCCAAGTAGTATTGCTCCCCCCCGTATATACATGATATTGCCCCAAGTATTGCCCCCCCGTATATACACGATATTGCCCCAAGTATTGCCCCCCCGTATATACACGATATTGCCCCCAAGTATTGCCCACCCCGTATATTACACGATATTGCCCCAAGTATTGTCCCCCCCCCATCCCCCCGTATATACACGATAGTGCCCCAAGTATTTGTCCCCCCCGTATATACACGATATTGCCCCAAGTATTGTCCCCCCCCCCCGTATATACACGATATTGCCCCAAGTATTGTCCCGCCCCCCCGTATATCCAAGTACACTATATTGCCCCAAGTATTGTCCCCGCCCCCCCGTATATACACAATATTGCCCCAAGTATTGTCCCCCCGTATATACACGATATTTGCCCCAAGTATTGCCACCCCCGTATATACACGATATTGCCCCAGGTATTGTTACCCCCCCGTATATACACAATATTGCCCCCAAGTATCGGGCTGCAGGCCTTTCCACACACATGACCTTTAATGGCCCCCCAGTCTTAGTCCGTGGGGTTCAATATTGAGTTGGCCCCCGCCCTTTCCCCGCACATGACCTTTAATGGCCCCCCAGTCTTAGTCCGTAGGGTTCAGTATTGAGTTGGCCCGCCCTTCCCACACACATGACCTTTAATGGCCCCCCAGTCTTAGTCCGTAGGGTTCAATATTGAGTTGGCCCCGCCCTTTGCAGGTATAACAGCTTCAAACTCTTCTGGGAAGGCCCCCCACAATGTTTAGGTTTGGGAAGAGCGGTGTCTATGGGAAGGTTGGACCATTCTTCCAGAAGCACATTTGTCAGGTCAGGCACTGATGTCGGGGGGAGGAGGCACTGATGTCGGGGGAGGAGGCACTGATGTCGGGGGAGGGGCCTGGCTCACAGTCTCCGCCCTAATTCATCCCAAAGGTGTTCTATGGGGTTGAGGTCAGGACTCTGTGCAGGACAGTCAAGTTCCTCCACCCCAAACTGGCTCCTCCATGTCTTTATGGACCTTGCTTTGTGCACTGGGGGCAGTCATGTTGGAACAGGAAGGGGTCATCTCCAAACTCCTCCCACAAAGTTGGGGGGCATGAAATTGTCCAAAATGGTGCCTTAAGAGTTCCCTTCACTGGAACTAGGGGGCCAAGCCCAACCCCTGAGGAACACCCCCACACCATAATCCCCCCCCCCCTAGTTCCACCAAACTTTACACTTGGCACAATGCAGTCAGGCAAGTACCGTTCTCCTGGCCACCACCAAACCCCAGACACGTCCATTCGGATTGCCAGACAGAGAAGAGTGATTGGTCACTCCAGAGAAACACTCCTCCACTGCTCTAGAGTCCAGTGGCGGCGTGCTTTACACCACGGCATCTGACGCTTTGCATTGCACTTGGTGATGGAAGGCTTGGATGCAGCTGCTCGCCATGGAAACCCATTTCATGAAGCTCTCTACGCACTGTTGTTGGGCTCATCTGAAGGCCACACCAAGTTTGGAGGTCTTTAGCTATTGACTCTGCAGACAGTTGGTGACTTCTGCGCACTGTGCGCTTCAGCATGCGCTGACCCCGCCCTGTCATGTGACGTGGCCTACCACTTGGTGGCTGAGTTGCTGTTGTTCCCAGTGGCTTCCACTTTGTTATAATCCACTAACAGTTGAGCGTGGAATATTTAGTAGCCAGGAAATGTCACGGATGGACTTATTGCCCAGGTGGCCACCTATCACGGGACCACGCTTGGAGTCACTGAGCTCCTGAGAGCGACCCATTCTTTCACCAAATGTTGTAGAAGCCGTCTGCATGCCTAGGGGCTTGATTGTATACACCTGTGTCCATGGAGGGGATTGGAACACCCTGAGATCACATGATATGGAGGAGGGGATTGGAACACCTGAATCACATGATATGGAGGGGATTGGACACACTGAATCACATGATATGGAGGGGATTGGAACACCTGAATCACATGATATGGAGGGGATTGGAACACCCTGAATCACATGATATGGAGGGGATTGGAACACCTGAATCACATGATATGGAGGGGATTGGAACACCTGAATCACATGATATGGAGGGGATTGGAACACCTGAATCACATGATAACACTGAGGGGATTGGAACACCTGAATCACATGATTGGAGGGGATTGGAACACCTGAATCACAATGATATGGAGGGGATTGGAACACCTGAATCACATGATATGGAGGGGATTGGAACACCTGAATCACATGATATGGAGGGGATTGGAACACCTGAATCACATGATATGGGAGGGGATTGGAACACCTGAATCACATGATATGGAGGGGATTGGAACACCTGAATCACATGATATGGAGGGGATTGGAACACCTGAATCACATGATATGGAGGGGATTGGAACACCTGAATCACATGATATGGAGGGGATTGGAACACCTGAATCACATGATATGGAGGGGATTGGAACACCTGAATCACATGATATGGAGGGGATTGGAACACCTGAATCACATGATATGGAGGGGATTGGAACACCTGAATCACATGATATGGAGGGGATTGGAACACCTGAATCACATGATATGGAGGGGATTGGAACACCTGAATCACATGATATGGAGGGGATTGGAACACCTGAATCACATGATATGGAGGGGATTGGAACACCTGAATCCACATGATATGGAGGGGATTGGAACACCTGAATCACCATGATATGGAGGGGATTGGAAACACTGAATCACATGATATGGAGGGATTGGAACACCTGAATCACATGATTGGGAACACCAGGAAAGCTGATATGAAGAACACCTGAAGCAAGCATGATTGGGAGGGATTGGAACAATGAAGAACTGAATCACATGATATGGAGGGGATTGGAACACCTGAGAACATGATATGGAGGGGATTGGAGCAAGCTGAATCACATGATTTTGGAAGGGGCGAGTCCCAAAACACTAGCTGAAGCATATGAAGAACACCTGAGAAGCTGACATATGAAGAACACCAGAGAAGCTGACATATGAAGAACACCAGAGAAGCTGACATATGAAGAACACCAGAGAAGCTGACATATGAAGAACACCTGAGAAGCTGACATATGAAGAACACCTGAGAAGCTGACATATGAAGAACACCTGAGAAGCTGACATATGAAGAACACCAGAGAAGCTGACATATGAAGAACACCTGAGAAGCTGACATATGAAGAACACCAGAGAAGCTGACATATGAAGAACACCAGAGAACATGACGTATGAAGAACACCAGAGAAGCTGACATATGAAGAACACCTGAGAAGCTGACATATGAAGAACACCTGAGAAGCTGACATATGAAGAACACCAGAGAAGCTGACATATGAAGAACCAGAAGCTGAGAGAACACTGAAAGATATGAAGAACACCAGAGAAGCTGACATATGAAGAACACCAGAGAAGCTGACATATGAAGAACACCAGAGAAGCTGACGTATGAAGAACACCAGAGAAGCTGACGTATGAAGAACACCAGAGAAGCTGACATATGAAGAACACCAGAGAAGCTGACATATGAAGAACACCAGAGAAGCTGACATATGAAGAACACCAGAGAAGCTGACATATGAAGAACACCAGAGAAGCTGACTTATGAAGAACACCAGAGAAGCTGACATATGAAGAACACCAGAGAAGCTGACATATGAAGAACACCAGAGAAGCTGACATATGAAGAACACCAGAGAAGCTGACATATGAAGAACACCAGAGAAGCTGACATATGAAGAACACCTGAGAAGCTGACATATGAAGAACACCAGAGAAGCTGACATATGAAGAACACCAGAGAAGCTGACATATGAAGAACACCAGAGAAGCTGACATATGAAGAACACCAGAGAAGCTGACATATGAAGAACACCAGAGAAGCTGACATATGAAGAACACCAGAGAAGCTGACATATGAAGAACACCAGAGAAGCTGACATATGAAGAACACCTGAGAAGCTGACATATGAAGAACAACCACCAGAAGAACACCAGAGAAGCTGACATTATGAAGAACACCAGAGAAGCTGACATTGAAGAAAACACCAGAGAAGCTGACATATGAAGAACACCAGAGAAGCTGACATATGAAGAACACCAGAGAAGCTGAACATATGAAGAACACCATGAGAAGCTGACATATGAAGAACACCAGAGAGCATACTTTTGTTTCATCCGAGTCGGAATCATTCATCAATGCTGAACCAGCAGATTTCTCATCAGGCAGACGTAGTAATGCAGCAATCAAGTGAAATGGTGCTGAAAAGATATTGCATGGGATGTGAACGGAGCCGAGATTCACGTGACATCACGGAGGAAGCAGAGAATGATGTTCTCAGTTGCCATGGCAATCTCCCATAGATACAAGCATGTTCTGCATCCTGCAGGATGTCTTTTCAATAGGATTCTGCTTAAAAAATGCGTCTAGAAGGAGAGAGGAGGAGTGTGGTGGCGAGCAAATATATCCAGAGAGGGCGCTTGTCCTCGGCTCCGCCTTTCATGGAAGGAATTAAGACAAATCTCTCTAAATGTGGAGCAAAGTCAACCCATCGCCATCTTGGTCCATGAAAAGAATGTTTCAGCAGTTTGAGCTCCCTGGAGCCGGAGCTTCTACCGGTAATTCTTCATAAAGGCCGTGTGCAGAGCGTGGGACCCGGACAGAGGATGCATGTGACTCCCGTATGTCCAAGAGGTCCATTGTGGGCGGAACACCCGCCGTACACATATACACAGAGTAGCCAGAACATTATGACCACACTCCATGACATTAATGACCACCCACCATGACATTATGACCACCCTCCATGACATTATGACCACCCTCCATGACATTATGACCACCCTCCATGACATTATGACCACCCTCCATGACATTATGACCACCCCCACCATGACATTATGACCACCCTCCATGAAGTTATGACCACCCACCATGACATTATGACAACCCTCCCATTATGACCCACCCTCCATGACATTATGACCACCCACCATGACATTATGACCACCCACACCATGACATTATGACCACCCTCCATGAAGTTATGACCACCCTCCATGACATTATATGACCACCCTCCATGACATTATGACCACCCTCCATGACATTATATGACCACCCTTCATGAAGTTATGACCACCCTCCATGACATTATGACCACCCTCCATGACATTATGACCACCCTTCATGAAGTTATGACCACCCTCCATGACATTATGACCACCCTTCCATGACATTTATGACCACCCACCATGACATTATGACCACCCTCCATGACATTATGACCACCCTCCATGACATTATGACCACCCAACTGCAGGACATTATGACCACCCCCATGAAGTTATGACCACCCTCCATGACATTATGACCACCCTCCATGACATTATGACCACCCTTCATGAAGTTATGACCACCCACCATGACATTATGACCACCCTCCATGAAGTTATGACCACCCTCCATGACATTATGACCACCCTCCATGACATTATGACCACCCTCCATGACATTATGACCACCCACCATGACATTATGACCACCCTCCATGACATTATGACCACCCTCAGGACATTATGACCACCCTCCATGAAGTTATGACCACCCTCCATGACATTATGACCACCCTCCATGAAGTTATGACCACCCACCATGAAGTTATGACCACCCTCCCATGACATTATGACCACCCTCCATGACATTATGACCACCCTCCATGAATTATGACCACCCACCAATAATTGAGTAGGTCCCTTTTGACAGTTATGACCACCATGAACAGCCCCGATCCATCCATGCACAGACTCCATGAGACAACAAGCTGCACCATGCTCTGTGTTGACAGTCTTTCTACCCACTTTCTCAAAACCAGCATTCGATTTTTCAGCATTTGAGCTCCAGCAGCTCTTCTATTTGATTGGACTATACAGGCCAACCCTGCCCTCCCCCCTCTGTCAATGAGCCTTCCCTCCCCACCTCCATCAAAGAGCCTTCCCTCCCCACATCATAAATGAGCCTCCCCCCCCCACCTCAATCAATGAGCCTCCCTCCCACACATTCAATGATCCTTCCCTCCCCATCTCCATCATTGATTTTTACCTCCCCACCTCCATCAATGAGCCTCCCCTCCCCCACCTCCATCAATTAGCCTCCCCTCCCCCCACCTCCATCAATGAGCCTCCCTCCCCCCCACCTCCATCAATTAGCCTCCCCTCCCCCCACCTCCATCAATGAGCCTTCCCTTCACCTCCATTAATGAGCCTTCCCCCACTTCCATCAATAAGCCTTCCCTCATCCACCTCCATCAATGAGCCTCCCCCCCCACCTCCATCAATGAGCCTTCCCCCACCCCGGCCTCCATCATGAGCCTTCCCCACCACACTCCATCAATGAGCCTTCCCCCACCTCCATCAATGAGCCTTCCCCTCCTCCATCAATAAGCCCCCACCCACCTTCCCCCCCCACCTCCATCAATGAGCCTTCCCTAACCATCCAAGCCTTCCCCCACCATCCATCAATGAGCCTCCCCCCCCACCTCCATCAATGAGCCTCCCCCCACCTCCATCAATGAAGCCTTCCCCCACCTCCATCAATGAGCCTTCCTACACCACCTCCATCAATAAGCCTTCCCTCCCCACCTCCATCAATAAGCCTTCCCCCCAACTCCATCAATAAGCCTTCCCTCCCCACCTCCATCAATAAGCCTTCCCCCCACTTCCATCAATGAGTCTCCCCCCCCCTCCATCAATGAGTCTCCCCTACACCACCTCCATCAATAAGCCTTCCCTCCCCACCTCCATCAATAAGCCTTCCCCCCCAACTCCATCAATGAGCTTCCCTACACCACCTCCATCAATAAGCCTTCCCTCCCCACCTCCCCCCACCACCTCCAAATAAGCCTTCCCTCCCCACCTCCATCAATAAGCCTTCCCCCCACTTCCCCCCATCAATGAGTCCCTCCCCCCCCCCCCCTCCATCAATGAGTCTCCCCTACACCACCTCCATCAATGAGCCTTCCCTTCCCACCTCCATCAATAAGCCTGCCCCCCCACCTCCATCAATGAGCCCCCCCCCCCCCTCCATCAATGAGCTCCCCCCCTCCATCAATGAGCTCCCCCCACCTCCATCAATGAGCCTCCCCCCCACTTACATCAATAAGCCTTCCCCCCACTTCCATCAATGAGCCTCCCCCCCACTTACATCAATGAGCCTTGTACGACCAGGACCCTGTCTTCAGTTCACCAGATTTCCTTCCCTGAACCACTTTTGGTGGGTCCTGACCACTGCAGACTGGGAACATTCCACAAGAGCTGCAGTTTTGGAGTTGCTCTGAACCAGTCATCTAGACATTACAATTTGGCCCTTGTTAAAACCACCAGAGTACAGGGGCAGACTGACAACTCATGGGGCCCCCAGGCAATAGGGGATCATGGGGCCCATGTGTCCTTGCCCAAACTCAAAAAAGCCTATGAAAAAGATACCAGGGGCATCTCATGGGGCCCCCTACTGACCCTGGGCCCTCGGGTAGTGCCCGAGTTTCCAAATGGTCAGTCCGCCCCTGCCAGAGTATGAATATAATCACAAGATCACTAGATTATAGACAGGATCACAGGGCCACAAGACTATAGACATAATCATATGCCCAACAGAGTGTGAATATAATCACAGAGTCAAAAGGGTGCAGGTACCAGAGTATCATAGGTCCACCAGACTAGGAACATGATCACATTGCCACCAGAGTATAGACATGATCACCAGACTAGGAAACATAATCACATTGACCAGAGTCAACATGATCATAGGTCCACCAGACTAGGAACATAATCACATTGCCACCAGAGTCTGAACATGATCATAGGTCCACCAGACTAGGAACATAATCACATTGCCACCAGAGTATAGACATGATCATAGGTCCACCAGACTAGGAACATAATCACATTGCCACCAGAGTATAGACATGATCATAGGTCCACCAGACTAGGAACATAATCACATTGCCACCAGAGTATAGACATGATCATAGGTCCACCAGACTAGGAACATAATCACATTGCCACCAGAGTATAGACATGATCATAGGTCCACCAGACTAGGAACATAATCACATTGCCACCAGAGTATAGACTGATCATAGGTCCACCAGACTGATCATAGGTCCACCAGACTAGGAACATAATCACATTGCCACCAGAGTATAGACATGATC